TTTTTTTTTTTTTCCTTTTCTTTTCTTTTTTTTTCCCACTCAGAAAATTTATTTGCTGTTAATTTAGATGGCGCTACAGGACAAAATATCTTTTCATTTTAATCCAATTTCAATTTAATTTGCACTCCACCCAAGCTTCACTGTTACTTACTCTTGCCATGTGATGCAGGAGTCCCAGGAGAACTGGACGAGAGAGGAGAGAGAGAGAGGAGAGAGAGAGGGAGACAGAGAGAGGGGGAGAGAGAGGGAGAGAGAGAGAGGGAGAGAGAGAGGAAGAGAGAGGACGAGAGAGAGGACGAGAGAGAGGACGAGAGAGAGGACGAGAGAGAGGACGAGAGAGAGGAGGAGAGAGAGGAGGAGAGAGAGAGAAAAGAGAGAGAGAGAGAAAGGGAGAAAGAGAGAAAGGGAGAAAGAGAGAAAGGGAGAAAGGGAGAAAGGGAGAAAGAGAGAAAGAGAGAAAGAGAGACGGATTGAATATGAAAAAAAACGAGCAACACCGGGTATTTTACTAGTTCTCTATAAAAATGATTCTGACTCAATTTAAACAATTTCCTGTCATCTAGTTTTGAGCTAATAATTCAGTCTCCCCTTGTTTATTGTTGCTTCAATATCTTACTTCAATTTCAATGATGCATTATTTTACATGGCAAGGTCTGCTCCACCTGACCTTGCAAATTTTTCCTCCTTTTATCATCTAACAGAGAAAGAAAGTAGCACTCGGACAATGTACAGGCTATTTGAATTTAACTCAAGAGGCTTCATTTAGACTTTATCATTTACGTGCAGTTAATCTAAAATATGGAACAGCAGGTTTTACTTCCTCTCCAAAGGAATGTGTACAAAAAATTTTTTTCTCCTCAAAATCCATGGATTCAATCATGTCTGAACCCACAACAGTCCAATACACTATTAAACCATCAAAGCAACCATTTTCACAATCCTATGACTATGAGATCAAAAATTCTGAGGTTAGATAATCCAATTGTGGAATGTCACAGCACATCTATAGTATACTTTACAGTGTAGAAGAAAGGAACTTACGTGATATTTTCTGGAGTTGCAGGTCTGCGGGTCGACATAAAAAACACCCATCTCCTTCCAGGGCCATACTATTTATTAAGACAAAATGGTTTCCTTTGATAGTTACAAGTTTCACTGAAGGCGCACCAAATGCAGCAGCAAACCGTTCTTGTAAATATGGGCTAATGCTAAAATTAAAAGAAAAATAATAAAATCATATTATGCAATATATTCCATTTTATTTATTAATTTAATTTCACTTGTTCACTCCAGCAGTCTCCAAAATAAGCTTGTGAATAAAAAAAGAAACTTCCTAAACATCAAGACTTCTAAAGTTGCATCTCCAATACAGATGGTACTATTATATTAATTTAGTTCATTCTACGCTCCTGGAAATACAGAAAGTTGTACCACCCGATAAAACAGTTGTCTCACAACAAATGCTCCCAAGTCAACACTTTATAAATTCCTTGATTCATTAATAGTTTCGAACAATTTACCAAAATTAAATTATTTTGCATACTAAACAGTGTTTTGCAAACAGCAAACCACAGTCACAACAATATAGATTCCAGCTCTGAATTTAATGATTTAAAAATCTTTTGCTATGGGACATTGCAAAAAAGATACATGAAATATAAGTTTTTATGTGCTTTTAGTATAAGATCAAATAAAAATAATTTATTCTGCAAATATATACAAATAAAAAATAATAATGAAAAATATATACAAATAAAAAACTAAGACGTAAAGCAGTGTAATATTGTCTCACTCTCACCTTGAATTACTAAAGATTCCCTATTACTAAATCCCCATTACTAAAAATTACTACAGATTCCTGAAAGAGAGAAATATCACTTACCCATAATGAAAACCAATGTCATGATTTCCTACTGCAACAAATATTTGTGTTCCCACAGGAACTTCAAATAAATCATTAAAACGATTAACATAATAATTGAATTCTTGTTCGCTGGACCACAAGCCTTCATCAAAAAGATCTCCTTTAAATGCAGAAAAATGGAAAAATAATTTTAAACATAAATCTTTGAACAAGTGTCACTATCAACATTGGCATCAACCAGATGGGCAAATTCATAAAGTCTGAAAATGCAATACTGCAATTCTCTATCTCACCTAAAACAAAGACCACATCAGGTTTGTGAATTACCATTGCTGTCTGAAATGCTCGATACATTTGCCACTCTCTGCAAAAAAAAAAGTATTTAATAGTATTGTAGCTTTTGGTGATTTCTAGCAACTTAAGATCTGTGATAATTTGCTAGCTCAGAGAATGCTAAATACCTTCTCAACTTATCAAACCAGTGTCCATTGCGAGAACCAAGTAAATGTGTATCAGCTAATAAAAGAGCTCGCACAGAATGAGGATCTGATCCAACAGGTATTGTTCTGTCTTCCTTGTTTGTATCTAGTTGAGGCCATAAACACTGCAGAAAAACAATACAAATATAAATTATCTGCCTTATTTTCATTAAAATTATTTGATCAAAGTAACTAAACAAACCTGAAGAAGCACTACATAATAGATAATAAATTCACAATAGAAAATTAGGGCCAAAACTGCAACAATGAATTTGGTGAGATATGAAACATTAAGTCCCATTGTGTCATATTCGTCCTATTTTAAGGTGCACTTCAACTGTGACTACCTAAAAAAAGTGATTCAATATTGTAACAAACACTTAAAATATAGCTATGTATGTGACAGCATACATAGCATACATGTTAACTTCAGTAAGATAAACGGTATGCCACAAAATTGATAAGTAGCTTCTTTTGGATTCAAAACATAATTGACTAACTACATATAATTACGATTTATATCCTGTTAACAAGTCTTACGTGTCCCACAGACCCCCACAACAAAACCATCAACGAAGATCAACTCCTGCCTCGCCGGCAGGTGGACTAAATTGCGGTCAGCTGTGCTCCGGTACGTGTCACAGCGCTGTCGGCGCTGTCCTCGTGTACCTCGTGTAGGCGGCACAACACACGAGGATAATATCGTACAATCCGATTAAAATTGTGTCTCCTCACGATCTCGAGCTGACAGGAGAGGGGGACACTGACATCTAATCGCAATCTTCGTTATGACTTCAATTTTTGGTATTGATGCTCTCAATTGGATGATAGTGTTCACCTCTCTCTTCAGATCTTCACCTTGAAGGGACACTCTATTTTAATCGAAGTATAACAGCGGTATTCATGCTCTCTCGTGGTCATAATCCCAACCAGGAGCACTGAAGGATTAGAGCGAAATGGGCAATACATTAAGGATGATTGATGATTCATATTGGTAGAGGGCATGGTACAATGAATACATAGTATGGATAGTACATACGTATTATTTATTCCTTACTCGCCAACTGCTTGTGCAGTAGAGAGAGCGTATAGTAATGCTGTATGACAGGCGATTTTTCTACAGAAAAACTTTTTGCTGGGCCCTGGTAACGAAAAAGGCGAACCATTTTGTTCATGTAGGAAATAAATTACTTCCTCCAGCACCTTATGTAATCAGAACCCACGTTCGATGGCTCCTTGATTCTGAAAAATTGGATAACTGCCTGGAAAATTGATAACGTCTGTGTAGTATGAACAATGCTAGCGATTAAACCGCGCGCAAGATTTTCACCAAAATTGATATTCCCTATTGACCCCTTGACTTTGGCCTCTTGTGGGGGTACTTTACATGGTGCCTCAACATTTTCAAGATTTTCTCAAAAATGCTCTCTCCCTCCCCCCTCTCTCTTCCTCTCTCACCCCCTATATCTCTCCCCATCTCCCCTTCTTTCTCCCCCTCTCTCCCTCTTTCCCCGTCTCACCCCCTCTCTGTCCCTCTCCCCCTTTCTCTCACCCCCTATACCTCTCCCTCTCTCTCTTCCATCTCTCTCTCCCTCTCCCCCTCTCTCCATCCCTCTCTCCCCCTCTTTCTCCCTCTCTCTTCCTTCTCTCCCCCTCGCTCTCTCTCTCTCTCTCTCTCTCTCTCTCTCTCTCTCTCTCTCTCCCTTAAGCGTTGTTTATGCTATCCGAAGACGAAGTTTGGCGCCATTTTTCAGAAAATTTTGAAAATGTTTTGAGGCTTTATGTGAAGTACCCTCAGAAATCAAAATATTCGTTTCAAAACCACGAGTTGATTCAGATCATTTGGAGAATATCAATTTTTAACTGTAAATGTAGAACTGTTCAGGCGCTAGCATGAGACCACAGCAGACGTTTTGCCGTCAATTGATTTTTCAGTATCAAGGACCCTCAAAACAAGGATTCTGGCTACTCCACGTGTTAGAATATTTTTTTCTAAAATTAGCAACTGAATTTATCCACTTTTTTTCAGTTTTTCAACTATCCAGTTTGTCTGCCGAAAATTCCGTTTTCCTGCGCACGATTAAATAACTTTTTTCTTCTAACGAAGTTCCTTCCTAAGGCGACAAAGAAAAATCCTCTAACACGTGGGTAGCCAGAATCTATTTTGTGTGTCCTTGATACCGAAAAATCGATTAACGATAGAACGCCTGACCGTCCGTCTATGAACAACGCTAGCGGCTAGGTTCAGCCGATTTTCTCCAAAATAGATGTTCCTCGATCGATTTGGCTGATGTCACAACCCCTTGAATTAGAAACCGATATTTTGATTTTGGGGAGTACTATACATGACATTTCTGAAAAATTGTAAAAAAAATGTCTCCAATTTTTTTTAATTAAATTTTGTTGTCGAAAAGCATAATAGGCGTCTAACAGAAATGTGCAGGTTTCATATTCGTTAGAAATCCTGATTTTTCGAAAATTGCAAAAGTTCAAAATATTTTCGGCATTTTCCAACAACTAAAATATTAAAGATATATATTTTTCCTTAATAAAATCTGCAATTCAATAACAGATTTTGAGATAAGATTAGGTACAATTTTTCGAAAATTTGAGTATTTTTCGTGTAATTTTGCGTGAAATATACGCGTGAAAATAATTTTGATTATACATATTTTCTCAAAAACGCCACCACAATTTATGATTAAAATTTGATCTCAGTGACGTATAAGATGTTTAAGAGTTGAAAATTTTAAATTTTTTAATTGCAACAAAAAAAAGAAAGAAAGATGTACTTCGTTTTAAGCAATATGCAAACCTTAATTGAAATTACCCCGCTTAGGTTTTCTCTCTTAAAATACGATTTAAATGTAACATGAAAGGAAAATTGCTGGCCTTCAGGAAATATGAGATTGGAATGCGACAATGGCATTCTGCATCGCGAGATGGCAGTTACAGTTCTGTGAATTCCGTCTCATTGTTGGGAAATTATTTAGCTGTATGGAAAGTAGTTATAATTGTCGAATATGAGGTGATATGGGCTTGAAAATATTTAATTTTCGCGCCCATTGTTCTACGATTTATGTGTTTTACAAATAGAAGAGACAGAAACAAGTTTAATTGACTGTGACTGAGATGAGTTAATTCGGAGAGAAACGGTGGCAAAATGGTATATTATTAAATGAGCGTAGAATGATAGCTATTATTTACGAGTTGATATTTACGACACGAGCAACGTAGGAGCGGGTGTCGGAATTTCTACGATTGAATAATAGTCATTCTGCGCGAATAGAAGACACTTTCTCTATGACTTCGAAATTGATATTTTAAAAATACCAAATGGGCGCCTTAAACTTACAGAACACTGAACGTTCTCTACCCCTAACAAACTCACATATGCTTCCAAGCTAATCATTCTAGAAAAATCTTAAAAATGATCTGACATGATGATCTTTAATGTCAAGGCTGCCTCTGCCGTTAGATCAGTTGGGCAATTTCAACCAACTAGTGAACAATAACTTGTGATACTAGTGAAATAGAATAATGCAGTGAAACCCCTGCACAAGACCACCTATTTAAGAAGACAACCACTTTTCGAAACCAGTTTACTATGAAACGGAATATATTCCGAAGATCAATATATTATTAGTAATATTTCGACCGCCCCTCAAACGATCACAAATTTTCGTCGTTATGTTATTTTGTAACCCCTTCCAGACGACCAGAATACCTTGCACTGAAATAATAAACCCGTCAGTTATGTGCTACTGTGAGCCAAGCTGTTTCCGGTGTCTGAGATAGCCAACAGCGATCGGGCGCCTGAGATCTCTCAGTAACTCCCAAGGAGAGACCTTCCAGGAAATGTCTGCAGAGGCGCAACGCGTCTCCAAGCTCTTTGGAGTGGGGGCGTCAAGCGCTCTGCGCTTGGAGTTCTATTTAGATCGCCTCGTCGTAGTCAGAAGACCGTCAGGTAGCATCTCCACGTACGCGCCTCCTACTATTAATTCGCGCTCCTGCGTCAGCTCTGGAAAGGAATTAGGATTGGGGTAGGATTTGGGACACTTCACAGGGGTTGGACTAGCCCTTGTAAACCAGCCAAACTGCTTTTGTTTGAACAAATATCATATGGGATTGTCGGGGATTCGAACCCAGGCCACCTTGGTGAAAGGTGATCGACTTTGCTCTGAGCCGCTGATGTTGAGAAACCATTGCTTTATAATCGGAAAAATAACTACCTTATGTCAATAATTTTAGGAAATTATTTAAGAACACGGTACTATTCTTTTTTGTAATCATATTAATTCACAAATAGTTTATCCAAGTAGACAATAAAGCTTCCATTTGAAATCAAAATAGTGACCTATCATATTTATATCTATATCTAATAATCACAGCAGCAGTGAGTAGTGTAATAGTGTGAACCTACAAGAGCATCCCCTCTAAAGATAGTTTTAAGATCTTTTTTATGTTGTCGACTTAAAGAGGTTTCAAAAACAAGCGGGAAACATTTTGAGAGCCGATAGACACAGTGGTATTCCTTTCTGTACCTCGAAGATGAATACACAATATCTGGTCCAAATTTTCATAAACCAAATGGCACACTTCTGTTTAAAGACATACATAAATCATCTTTTGTATTGTTACAAGACATTAAAAAAAAATATTGGCAGTCTGGCATTTTCTGGACATCCCTTAAGCTTAAAAAAAGTCTACGTATTTTTCAACCCTTTCTACAAAAGTCTTGATACAAAATTTGCATGGCAAGATTACAAGACAAAATATGAAAAGCTAACACAAGCATAAAGTTTATATTTTATTTTTTACACTGTTTTACAAATTCATGTTTTATGCAAGATACATATGCACCTGAACAATAAAACACACAATGCGATACCATTGGCGAACGCAGGCAAGTTGACCTTTCATTGAACGAAAGGCAAGAATTAAACTTCCCAATGGGAAAAATTTCAGCATTCTGAACATGTCAATCAGACAGTATTCAAAATGTGGCAGATATATAAACCTGAAGTACTCGCATCTGGCCATCTTACAGAATTTAATGAAGTTAGGCAGATATGAAATCTTGGCATACCACAGAAAAGGGCATTATTCATTCATGCAGATATTTACCTTAAATTAGTTGTTCATTACTTCAGAAAATCTGCCATTGTTCAGGACCAACTGGATAATAATACTTTTGCACACAAATGACACATGATATGAAGCCCATGAGATTTCTCACTCCTCATACATACATTACACAAATTAACATTGATCTACTCAAACATGAACTCTAGATAAAGTATTCTTAAAACATGGGATAAGCACTAATAAGCTTATAGAATTCAATAGCTTTTCATCTTAATCACAACCAATTTTGTTAATATATTTGCTATTATAACAAAAGTAAATTTTCTGAGGGGGGTTTCTTATTTGGAAGATAAGTGTTGTACCAAGCAATAAAACCGTCATTAATGTTATGATTACATTTCAAACTTTTCGGTCTGACAGAAATCAATGAAACATAACATGGAACATAAAATCGCACACCTGCACAAGAGAAGGGTTAATTAACATTGTGGAAAACAAGTAACTTGTGCTAAAGTTACTTGTTTCCACAAGACTGTTGTGGAACCAAAAATCGATTTTCATTCAATTATTTCATTCATTACACATAAATTTTGGAATGATTTACATATCTAGACCATTGTGGAAAAAAAGTAGTTTAAAGCAGATACAACTTTGAGAAGAAAATAAAGAAAGGAAAACAAAGAAAACTTTTACACCCTTAACTGTGCAGTATTGGATTCATGTTCAAATTTCATAATTTCACATAACGCAACAAAAGAAATTCAAAAACTTGTACTAAATTTTAGCAACATGTAATTTTCACCTCAGAAAAAAGTATTCAAAATATATTTTATTTTGCTTTCAGTGTACAATATATGGTTGGAATTATTTTCATTCTGTAATTAGTAATCAGTCGTAACGAAATCAGTTATCAATTGTTACTTCGAATCACTGAAGCAAATTTTACCTTCACAATTGTCAATCATTATGAATAACACAACTTGTTAAATGTTTTAAAATCACAAAACATCAATAATTTAATTTTTCTTCAGATTCGGAGGCAATGTGACAACTGAATTATTGGATAATTTATGTATTAATCAACTACAAATATTGACTCTTACAATTTTAACTTAGTTATTAATTAACAGATTCTATATCAGTCTTTCTGACTAAATGGCCATATGACTTGTTCATTATAATAAAGAACAGGGCTGTTGGGGCTTATAGACACTGCAGTTCATGCACCTCACTTAACAAAACTACACTTGCAAGCTACACAATATTAGTATTTGGAAGCTAATGATCTTGATGAGCTACACTGTTACACAGTAGAACACATTTTTGCCAGCTTCTTAGAAGCAAGTTCCTACATCCACAAATCAGGTGCTCTATAAGGTTTTAAAATATAAAAATGTAATTCTGAAAAGCAAAGAGCGACTGTAATAAATCATATTTTTCAGTTTAACTCTCTGATTAATCACACCACAGGAAAGCGTAATGGGTAGCTTTCAGTTCACATCTGCCCATAAAAGTAATAAACTTAGGAGTATTACCAAATCTTTTAACATAAAAGTTTATACATGAACAAAGCTGTACTTTAATAAAATAAAAAAAGATATCAAGAATAACTGCATTCAATGTATCACATTATCATACCACAACTGTACAAATTCCATACACACATTATGTACTTGCTTAGCAGTAAATTAGGTACTTCAGTTAACAATTTACATACATCGTTCTTTTCACACACAAAAATATGTATATATACATTTACACAAATATATCTATGAGAAAAAACAAAGCAAAAATAGCAAAATTAACAGAACATTTACATGGTGAACCATACATTAAAAAAATGAGAAACATACATATATACACTGTATTACAATATAAATATGCAGTAAGTACAAACTGCTTTTTTAACATCTATGCATGGTAATATCTTGAATAAACAAAAGAAAGCTAACTATATCACGTTTCCTCGCAGAGGAGACATTTTCAGACATCAATCAGCAGTAATACTGGAAACTGGGGGAGTCCAAACAGCTTCTTCTATCCAATTATACTAAAACAATAAAAGAAAGGAAAAAAATCAACATACAATTTAAAAAAATTAAACCTATATAACAATATTTAGTAATTGCAAAACTTCTTACCCTGATCAAAGCAGCTGGGATTAATGTAACTCAACAAGTCACTTTCTGACATCTGAGTTAGTTCTTGAGGCACCATACCTTCTTCCAGTTTTTTGGGAGTAGGGGCTGCAACTGCAGCAACTGAATCCTTTGCAGTTTGTCTGACAGATGAAATGTCAGTAACAGGGACAGACAGAGAAGCATTTGTAACAATAAGTGTTTTTTCTCCCTGTTTCTCTTGATCTGGTAAATTCTGCTGTTGGGCCATTATTTTTTGTTGCTGTTGCTGCATATGTACAGCTTGAACATCAAGTTTTGTGACTGCAGAACTACACGATTGAACACTGCTGCCTTCTGCAATTTTACAATTTACACTTGTTACAACTTCCTTATTCACTTTGTTATCTTGTGTAACTATCACATCTATTTGGTTTTTTCTGTTATCACCATTTGCCAAAACCATGAAAGCTTCATTCAGCAGTCTGGCTTGTGCCTGCCCTTCTTGCACTGTCGTAGAAGATACTTCTCCCAATTTTGAAACAGTACAAGGTGCAGTGCTCATCAGTCCTGAAGTGTTTGAATTTGTAGAGGTGAAGGGAATTGTATGACTTAATGTTTGGGCATCAGTACTGCTCTGGTTTGAGCTCAACAATGTATGAACTGTTACATTAGGCTGTGGTCCAAACATGCCAAGATGGTGATTCAAAAGAGATGAGCAAGTTGTAGACACTGATGGAACAGATTCCAAAGTTTGGCTTTTTGTTGATTCATTTTCACTAGAAAATATTGTCATCAATGATGTCCCTGACACTGATGGTGTTTGTGAAGAAAGAATTCCTGGTGATCCACTTTGTAATGTTTGAGGAGATGTGAGGGCAACATTGGAATTTTCAATTGGACTGACACCTGTTGAATTATGCAACTCCCTTGTTTCAGATTCAGGCAACAATGTCGAACTTGTACCAGGTAAGGAAGTACTATTTGGTAAATTTGAAGGCATGTTTGAACCCAAAATAGTAGCTAAAGATTGGGTGGTGAGTGGCAATGAATTAGTTGAAGAACAGACAGCAGTCCCATCAATACTCATACCACTAGCTGTGGTTTGAACTGGTGATGTAAGAACATGTTTACTCATAGTTGATTCTACTAATGCATCCAATTTATCAGAAGACAATGTAACATGAGGTACAGTTGATGCTAAGAGATTGTCTGATGGCTGAGAATTAAGTATAGATTTAACTCCTAGTGCTTGGTCCACAACAGATGCTGATTCCAAAATAATTTTCTTCATAGCAATAGGTGATGTACAGTGAGCAGTTCCTGCAGCAAGTGTGATCTCTTCCTTTGCAGTTGTTGGTGCAAGAATATCTTTTACATCCATAGCAGTTGTCATCACTGTTGCTTTGTCCGCTAGAATCATTGTTTTCATTGCTACTGGGGATGTGTGGGTGACATTAGAAATATTACTACTTCCAATGGTTGAAGAATTAACTATGTTCTTTCCTGATATCTGGGGGCTCTGGATAGTACCAGAATTCAACAGGCTATTTTCAACACTAGAATTGGCAGAACTCATGATGATGCTCTTCATTGCAATAGGAGGTGCACAAGCTGGATTACTTAAAACAATATGAGAAGCTTCAGCAGAAGCAACAGGCTCCAAGGTCAAGTTAGATTCACGTACAGGACTCAGCGTAATATCTGTTGCTTTGGCATTGGAATCTGTGTTTAGAAGATGTGTGCTGAAAGCACTTGTTAAAGTGTTGTTGAGAATTATATTTTCTTGCGTAATTTGGGCTGTAGTTTGGGCGGGAGATAATGTATTCAATGGAAAAGTATTCACAGAAGGTACTGTTAATGATGAATTCAGAGACATTTCTTGACAATGAATTGGAGATGATGATGTATTCTGGTTTGTACCAAGGGAGTCACTAAGAGGCACCTGGGTCTGTGCACCTAAAACTGCATTATCTGTTGTTACAGCTTGTATTATACTTTGTGTTGATGAAAATACATCTAACTTTTCAGCAGTCTGATTTTGACAATTAGCTTCCAAAATACGACTCTCAATAGCTGATGAAACCAAAGCGTCAAGTCTGGTATCTGATGTTCCACTCATTATAGCCGATTCTGCCTGAGTGGCAGCAAGTAAGTTTCCTGCAATTGTACCAGATTGAGCTGAAATGTTCAGAGTTGGATTATCAGAGGAACTTCCAGATGATGACAGCATGTTGTGTGAAGATCCAATAACTCCAACTGTTGATGACGGTGAAGAAGATGAGGAATGATTACTGATTTTGCTGGAGTCGATTAACTGTTCATCTGCCTTTTGAGACACTTCCGCAGAAGAAAGAAGACTTTTATGATCTTGCTGTTGTGTATTATTAAAGATAAGAGAAGTACCATTTTCTATAATGGTAGAAGAACTACCAATAGAGCCAAGGAGAGTAGGAACACTTAATGAAGATGCTTCACTACTATTGGGACCTGAGGCTGTAAAATCAGGAAGAGTTGCATTTGTTACTGTTGGGAGGAGAGCAGAAGGAATAGATTGAGCAGAGCACAAACCAGGAAGGGAATTTTCTTGATACTTGGACTTTGCTTGACTTGCAGGAACCACTGTGTTCAGGCCAACGGCAAGTAATCTAGATGCCATTGTGTCTTGAAGAGTAGCTTGCTCTACTAATTGAGGTTTTTGTTCTTTCTCTACCACAGAAGAAGCAGAGCTATATATAGTGGGCAAGGTTAGATCATTACCAAAAGAAATTTTCTGAGTTTCTGACACTGTTGGTGGTAAGCTAGGGGCTAGAAGGCCACTGTTTGTTGCTTGAGAAGGACCAAACATTATGGGATTATTAAATTGAGAGTTGATAGTAGTATCAGCATTACACATTTTGTTCATCGCTAATTCTTGTGCAGCTGAGTCTGTTGGACTTGCAGCTGGAGCAGCAGATGGTACTGCAATTGCTGTTGCAGTTATCGTCGCTGAAGCACTGGCACTTCCACCACTACTATTACTTCCACCCCCGGCCCCGCTGCCACCACCACTATCTCCAGCTTTAGGAGCTACTGGATTCTCAATGTGAGATAAATATTTTTCAACACTCTGTCCACTTTGTGTTGGGAGAGGAGCATCACTAGGATTAGATACAAATCGACGGAAAGTAGCCAGAGAAGGGGACTGAGTACTAAGCAAGTCGCTAACAGTAGCAATAGGCCCCACAGAAGCTGTAGGTTTCATGCGCAAATCAATCCCTTTCAATTCTTCAGGAGATAGTTGTACAGATTCTTGGCTAGATTCATCCAGAACTTCAGTCTTTAAATCAGGTTCAATGTCAGGGATAATGAGAACATTCGAAGACGATCCTCGTGCAATGGGCAAAAGTGGAGGAGGTGGCGGCATCATCTTGAGACCATGAATTTTACTCTGTTCATTATCTCTGGCCTTCAAGCCTTCTGCCTTTACAGGATCTCCTACAAGAGGCATCGATGTCCAGAGTCTGATCGGATGAACATCTTTTTTCACACGAGCTGTAAAAATAATACACGCAACGGATTAAAAATACAATTCTACAAAACTATTTTACAACTGAACCTATGACAAAATTTAAGTAGTCTTTACAAAACACGCGGCATTTAGTCGCAGAGGTATAATTTACTTTTATTAATTATAAATTACAATGACAATATAAAACAACAGGCAATAATAAGCCTCAACCCTGAATCACTTACAGTCAATTAATAGATAATTTTTAATCAATTTGACAATATATTGCAAATTGATATTGCATATTTGACAATATATGTAAGAAAAGTGATTTCAGTGTATTCTATAAATTTATTTGCACATTCTCCACATTGAGGTATCATATCAAACATTTCTTCAACCACTTGGTGCTGAAAAGGTATAACGATTTCCTCATAGTTGAGGTGTGTGAGTATTTTCCATATCTTTGAAAATAATTCTATACAATCAATTGCATTGTTACGAAGTTTGAAAAGGTAAGTCTGATCTTGAACTTGCCTATATGACTCAAGTCAACTTATATTAAATATTTGTGGTATTTTAAAATCATGGGTTAAAAACTGAAATAGAACATCAAGTTTCCAAGCTAGGAAATGTAGGTACTTTTGCTGAACTATTTCTAACTTATTGTTCAAAGACATATAACATGGAGGCCATACTTAAGAAGCTTACATGAAAATTAATCGTACCAAAGTAAAATAAATACTTTAAGTGACATTAAGTTTCAAAATTCAACCACCGTCTTCCTCGCAAAAACACTCATTTGGTTGGCTTTATTAACAATATGGTCAACATGAGTATTAAATTTACTTTTTGAATCGAACATTATCGCAAGGTCTTTAATTTGATCACATGTTTCCAATTGGTGTCCACCTTGTTTTTAAGAATAAGTTATGGAAGACTTGAAGCTTGAGAACCTCATAACTTTATATTTTTACTAAAATTACAATATTAATAATTATGGAGAAATTTCACAGTGCTGTACACAAATGACACCCATGATTTTCCATCATGAGTCTTAAAATGCACACGAAGTTCCAGAGACAGGTTGCCGAGCGAGACGAATTTGAAATATGACACAAGGTATTTTCTATAGGAATCTACTTGCCTGAAGCTACAACAGTAAATTTAACAATTTTTTAAAGCCTAAAAACTTATCATTAATGTCATATGTCAAATATAAAAATAAACTGACTGTTATAAACAGAGATTAGTTTCTGGACAAATGCCTTTTAAGTTTTTTTTCTTAATAATAAGATTCTAAATGCTAGGTACAATCTTCGTTTGGTTTCACAATATTTCAAACTGATTTCATTTTGATTGTTTTAGATTAGGAAATTCATTTAAATTTGTTGTCTTTTCAATTTATTGATTTTTTTCTCAAAAATTTTTAATTATAAAGTCTAAGAATGAGAAAATTCCTCGACATGTACAAAACAATTAAAATGAATAAAGACTTAAGAAAAAATTATATACAGGGGCCCTTATACTCACCAGGAGGAGGATCAACAGGCAAAAACTGGTTTGGCAATCCAGGCAACATGGTAGGTGGCGGCTTGGTTGGTGTTCCAGGTAGAATCAGCCCAGATGGTGGACCAAGAGGTGGTTTGTTGAACACTCGATTCAGGTCAACACACCCTGCAAATATATGTTAATTGTAAGAATCAATAACACTGTATTTTAACAGCATTTCTTCCAAAATAAAGAACTATCAAACTTACCATGGGGGACCCCAGATGAAACCAAGTTTAAGCACGTCTGAGGGATGTCTGATGTGCCCACTGCAGACAAGCAACATTCACAGTGAAATATGTGTTGAAATAAGGATCAAAATGAGAAATTCGCCAGAGCATCCTGAAATAAAATGGGGGCTAGAAAAGGTAGCAGCCACTCAAGCCAAATTCATAACAAATTAAAAATGAATTACAGAAAACTATAATAAACAATCAAAGTAGGTATGTTATAAAGATCATGAAGATTGGGGGGAAAGTTCAATAGTGCAATTCTTATTAGTATAATCTTTTAAACTGGAATTTTAAACTTAAATTTGGCTTAGGTGGCACGATCCTCACTACCTGTGCCTCAATTTCTCACATCGAGCAAATGCAAACACAAAATAACACTCACATGCTCTCTCACATTCATTCATCATACATTAGTCCAGCATTTCCCCAAAAAATTATTTTTCTGTTTTAATTTTTTTCTTTTCTTTTCGGATTATTGTTTACCTAGTAGGTATTCTCTTTTTTCTCTCCTTCTTCTATTTGTATATTTGAGTTTTTCATTGGCATTTAACAGACCAGCATATATTTTCTAAATATATATCCCATTTCAACTAATTTTCAATTTTCATACCATACAATATAACAACTCATTTATTTACTTTCAAATGCATTTTCAATAAAATACTTATGCCAACTTTTAAGTAAAAATTTCATTTCAAATCTCATTTTGTTTTGATACAAATTTTAAAGCTCAATATAAATACAGAAGTTAAGATAACTCGTGAACAATTTTTAAAATGCTGAATTTCAGGAAAACCTTTATAGTATTATTCAAATCTTTTGTCCATCCCATTGGAATGGTTGACGTTTCACAAAAAAAAAAGGACCGCTAAAACAATTAGTGAATAAGGAAGTTTGAGTTCACAATTGAAAGAACGTGTAAGTCTAGTAGGGAATGATAAACTAAAGATACATGAATGCAAGTAGCTAAGTGTACTTTTTGAAAATTTGTTAATTTTTATTTAAAATTATTTACTGACAATGAACTGTACTAACAGCAATAATTTGAGAAGGGTATCACAAGAAACATGCTATAGACATTTCATTTCTCAAACAGTTGAAACATTTGCTTGTTTGTTGAAAACTTGAATGTGCCAATTTGCACAGTAAAATACAGTTTCAAATTTAAACAAGGTAAAATTTAAACAAATCTTCATATAAGCATCATATTCAGGCATATGTCTGAACTGCTGCCAGAAACAGTCATTCTTTACAGGTTTGCTGCATGCTACCTGATTTATTCCCACAATCACACAACACACAATGCAAACCAAGCACTGAGGATCTAGCATTGGGGGGATTAGATTCAGCATCCAGCTCCACCAGAGAAACCTGTAAAACTTTACAAACTGAGTCAATGCTCCTGGCATCTGTCTTCTTTCTTCTTCTGCAGCTGGAAGGAATCAGAAGCAGATGTTTCACATCAAGACCAATGCAGAACAAAAGGATGATATTTTTCCTTTACTTTTTTTTTCTTTTTTTCTTTTTCTTTCTTTCAAACAATGTTCTCTTTTATGGCAATCTGATTCACTTTTTTAGTTTGTAAAATATTACTATGATATGTTCACTTAACAGTTCTTTCAAAAGGCTTTTAAGACTAAATATCTCAGCACTCACTTGCCAATGGTAATACTTTGTGAGCTTTAGTTTAACTAAGCAGAGCAGTGACAAAGTCAAAAATCCACACCTGTTTTTCGTTATAAACGCAATATCTCTTATGAAATATAGTAAAATATTGATGTGTAACTGGAATAATCTAAAACTATTGTTATTAATATTTTCTCTCAAATGAATAGATTTCTTAGTGCAACCTTAATTCTCTGCTTCCTTAATTCATGCATCATAATTACACAACTTTCCTTTTTACTGCTCAATAAATGTAAATATCTATAACATAGCAACATTAAAACCACTGAACTAATGCAAATGTAAAAGAAGGCCAAATTTAAAGAATGCTTCATTGACAATGAAATCTCTTACAACATGAAACTGAGAAAACTGACATTCAAATGCAGTCATGAGAGTAACAAAAAATTAAAAATCAATACTGTTTGCCTCTTAACAGCACTCTAATACTACACTGCACATATTTTTAACCACAACAACCATACCTAAACCAGATATTCTAATATTACAAACTATAAAATGTTGAACTGAGTGTGACTATCTTAAAAAAGACATAAAACTAAGATTCTTGCATGTGTTAAAAGGCAGTGTTGACTTCTGACCTGAGACAAGTTTGTCCTTCCCATAAAATGTTCAAAGTTTTGTATTAAACTTTAAATAATTGTATGGCAGATACTTTGTGCTCAGGTCTGAAGGCAAAGCATTAGAGTCCATAATTATGATGTGTCCAAAGAAACCTTGCCACATCATACACAACTTAACATCTACCAAGACAATCAAGTCTGAGAAAAAAGTCAGGCTTACTTACACAAAATGAAGTGGCCATTTTGTACAGCAACATGTATGGTCAGGACAAAGCCTTCACTTACAATACTATCCCCGAGAGGGGTCCTCCTACATGTGCATATGGGCATGGCCAAAAGAAGAAAAATCATTAACCTACTTTGGATAGAGTAAGTCTTAAAAACTGCTCTGTACACAGCGTTAAGTAAACGAGTGACAAGACACATCAGAAAGTGAATCCTTGGCAAAAATAAAATAAAATAAAATGAAATGAAATGAAATAAAATATTCAAAGTGATCATTAAGTACACACCAAAAGTATTTATAATTAAATGACATGGTTATGAGTGTCAAGAGTTCTATGGCCACAAATAAAAAATTGTGTAACTTTGTGCAAGATGTCGCTCTTGGGCATAATGTTACCAACAAGTTGTGATAAATTGGTCATTGCCAATAAAGAGTACCGAGACAATAGAATGTGTAGCAAATGGTGTGGTGTTGCGTAAGTGGAGTGTAGGATAGTAGTCACCGTGATGACAGAACCTGAATTATTAGCGAGCGCAGCCCGGGTGCACCCCCTGGCGCCCTGACAAGATGCGCCAACTCCAAACAGCTGAAATTCTGCCCTGAAATTCTGCTGTGGGGGGAACAAGCAAACGCATAGAAAAGTCAAGTTAAACAGTAAACACAATAGTTATCCTGTTCAGTTCTGACGTAAGATTAAAAAGTAGTTCTCAGATACAAGTCTCAAGCTATTATATTATTTTCAAAACAATCACAATGGAACATTATGAATATTGCTTCAAAGAATTCTACTTTATTAATGCTTACTGTATGTTGAAAATCAGCAAATGGTAATTAAATACAAATGTAAAAGATAATTTTACTTTAATAGAGCAAAATTCAAGAAAAGCAAGTTACATTAATAGAATTATAAAGAAATCTTACGCCACACTGATTCAGACAGAGCAAGAATTCCATAGCAGTACATAAAATTTCATAAAGCTTCCCAAATATAGAAAAGCTACTTATAAAGTCATTCAATATTTCACATTTAAAGTATCAACAAAATTTTGAAGTTTGATTTAAGTCCACGAAACCTTGCTCTTGATGACCAATTAAACTGAAATGAGGCAAATGACACATGCAAACCACTCAACCATCCATGCTCCCCCTGGCATACAATGTCTTTTGTTCTCACATACAGCACAAACATACAACATAGAATCATGTGCATTTGCCCCTCATTGTGAAAATATGAAGATTTAGCAAAGCAACAATAGTTTTAACCTTGAATGTGCAAAAGCAATGTAAAATGCATATTTTCCAGTCATTGAAATGAAAGAGGCTTTATTCTAATCAATTATCAAAATTAGGTAATAACTGTTATTGCTCTGCTTTTCTATAAGTATGTTAAAAACTTCCAGTTACATTACAAGCAAGAGTAAGAAACCAAAAACTGAACCAATATTTAATGGTAGCCATTTTTATACAATAATGATTCATTGATTAACTTTGAGCTATTTCTATTTAAATATCTTGTTGACTCAAGATTAATTAAAGTACAATTAATAATGTACCAATAACCAAAATTGAATCCACAAAATTTAGAAAATAAACTGGAAGTTTTAAATATAATAGTTCAGAAGCATACAAGAGCATGCTTCACTTCTAATTAGAAAATTAAGAACGACTAGTCCACATGGCTATTCATGGATTCAAAGTAATAGGTAAAAATTTATTGATATTGGAGTGCCTCAAGCACAGCTTCACCACCATAAAATTAGAATAGTACCACAGATATATGGTGTCTTGCATGAGGACATCTCTGAACATTCAGACAAATTGATTCTAGCCATGATTAACCCAGATAAAGAGAAAGCTACACAGGATGCACCAACAAATATACAGGCACCAGCCTAATATAAGCATTTGTCTGGCAAATTCAAAATAGTAATGCAAGGGAATGAAAAGAATGAAAGAAGGAAAGTTTGCCAAAATACATATTAATATGTAGTTAATAGGGTTGAACCTTCTGGTTTTGAATGCTTTGCTGTACACACTAATATATAAAGTAGAAAAACATTAAAGATCTTTTGCATTAGAATTAAGGCTCAATACCACATTGACAACAAATATTTTTCTTTGTTATATTTTCACTGAGAAAAATCCTAAAACTAGTGGAATAGGTATTTGACCAAAATTTAATTCAAAAGAAAGATCTTATAAATTATAATATTAATTAAAAATAATGAAACAAAAAAATGCATACTTCGTATTATTTTAAATGTTAGTTATAGATAAAATTTTTATTGTAGCCTGGCATTAAAATGCAAGAACTGATCAGTGAGTTTACTAAATTCGATTAATGTTACATTGAATAAAGGCAGGCAAATGCAAAGCAATTCATGCCAAAAACAAATTGCAGAAAATGGAAAAAAAAAAAATGGCTGTCACATTTCTTCAGTTACTAACAAACAGGTAAAACTTTTAGACTTTTTTTAAAATTGGGACAAAATTGCTAAAGAACAAACTACATACCAAAATAAAAAACTGAGATTTCACAAGACCTTGAATTATGGCCTGTCAATTCTCTACCATCCTGCCTAGCTTCCACTCCAAGGTGTGGGCTGGCCGTTCAAAGAAGTGCCCTCTCGCTGGGCTGCATCCCTGTGCTAGGTCTGCCTACCTGCAGGTTGGAGTACCGGATTCGGGGCTGGCATGTAAGTGAATGAGTGAGGTTCACTTGTCTTACCACTTGATGTGACTAATAACCGCACAGTAACTGGTTCAAGAATGTCACATCGCTGATAGGCTGGCACAATACAAACCAAGTGTGTCTGAAAATAAACAACAGAAATTAAATGAAATAAATGACAATAAAGCATGTTTTTATCAACAAAAAATATTAAATTAAAATAGATGACATGACAATATTACTCACTTGCTGAAGAAACTCTTTATCAGGCTGCACAGTTTCTTCCCATGGTGGTTCAATGTCACTTTGTTGAAACACAACACGTGTATCCTTAAGAAAGTTCTTCCCTAAAATAAACAATTCCATACCACCAGTACATGAAGCAGTTGAAAGTGACTTCTTGCAAATTTCAGGTACACCAGGAGGTTGAGCTGTTGAGAAAAGATGAATGCATCAAAATTAAAACAAAATCTCTCTTATCTCAATGTATCACATATTAAAGCAATTCACATCACCACTCACTGCAAACAATAGGCTGAGATGATGTCTGGAGGATCTCTGATGATCCATCTGGATGGGTGATAGTAGTCCTAAAGACCATTCGACACCGTGTAGATTTCTTTTTGTTACGAGTTCCAGACTGATCAGGAAATCTGTGTTCAACATCTACATTTCGCTCTTTCAAAATGCCCACACAATCACAGCTATAAATAAAACAGCTTAATGAAAAATTGCTGAAGTTTTGAAGAACATACTACAAATAAATAAATTTAATAGCTCACGTTATAGTCATGTCTTTTGCTGGATCAAAATCCACTTCAATGACAATTGTTCCATCAATTTTCTTTTCCACACATGGAGTGGAGTTCTTACCACTGACTTTGCAAGCTTGATAAAACATGTGAGGAGCCACACGGCCCATATCAGTACCAATAAAAACTTGTAGTGTGGCAGGCTTGTTGTACCCAGTCAGCTGAAAGAAGTTTTACACATATATATTTTTGTACTGATTTGAATGGAGGAATATTTCCTTAATGCCTAATTGGAAGTGCACTACTAATATTACTACTCCCACTGGAGCAGTCACTAATTACGGACCCAAAACTAGCAGCAAAGTAATTGTTTAGAACTACAAATTACAAAAGGCTTAAGATACCTTCACGACAGGAAAACCATTCCCACTACGATCTTTGACAGCACCCCTACTTCCTTCTGTTTGATATCGGGCTCGATGCTGCTGTTCTGGTTGGGAAGCAATCTGAAGCTGCACCCTACCATCACGACTTTGTCCCATTAATGGTGAGGACAGAGATACAGGCCCTGGAGGTCTTCGTGCTGAAACACTGACAGGGCGAGGTGGTAACCGGCCCAGTGAACCTCGCTGTACACCACCAGCCCCTCCACCAGCACCTGCACTGCCATTGCTGTTTGCTCCTCCCAGCGGTCGCTGCATCCCTGAGGCACCAGCACTGCCTCGCGATGGCATTAGGCATTCCAAGCTGAAACAATGACCATTCTTCAATTATATCTGGTATAAAATACACACATTCAAATTAAATTAATTTTTTTTCTCTAAACATCAAAAGTTACAAGAGAGTATATAATTTTAAGAAACTTAAGAACAATATTACAATTACAAAGAAAGACAGTTATCAAAACACAGAAATCTTTCAACTACAGTAACATTTTTACGTTGATAATTACCACCTCCTTACCAAATCAAGTTCCATTAAAAATACTAAGGAACTGATTTTTAAATGAAAACAAAAGAACTTTCAGCAAATACTTATATAATATCTATAAAGCAATGTAATAATCTAATAAAACCATCAATAAGGGCAAAAAATCTATGAATAAGAAAAATATAACAATCAAGAATTTGCATAACATATGTTATGATACAAGACCTTTACGGTACTTCCTAAACCTACCAAAACAAGAATAAGAATGCAGCGAATATTTTTTTCTCCAATTTTGCATTAATGAAACTCTAAATACTTTACACTAGAATGTTATCCTCACAATACTCACCCTCCAGGTTGTGAAGTAGCTTTATGTGATTTGCTCATTGCTTGAGAAAAACTGAAGTTATCATTGGCATCATCTGATTCCAACTTAATGTCCAGTTTCTTACGTTTTGCCTCGGAATGACCATTATCCCAAATAGGCTTTAAAAAAGAGAAAATATATGCAATAGGTTTAAAAATACAAATACAGCCCACAATTGTCACAGCCACTATTTTCATTTTCAATTAACAAAGATGGCAATTTAACATTGACTCATGAAAAATTTGTTTTATTGCGATCTACAGCAGTAACAGTAATTATAAAATTTTTGACGATTCTCATAAGGATCTAATTGTTTATTTGAGTAATGACGATAGAAAAATAGTAGGGATGTTCAGGAATTTTATTTTCTTAAGAGAGATTACACAGCAAGAGAGTGGTCGTTGTAAACAGTTTAAAGCATTAGGAATAATATTGTAAGAACTATCTATCGTGTTAAGAGAATTCAGAATTAACATTCCATTTTCACATCAGACAGTGAAAAATCAGTGTTATGTGAAGTATTTAAAGTATCCAAAATTAAACTTTTTCATTTCCATCCTTGAAAAAAAATAAGGTAAACCAGGCATGGCATTTTAAATTCTTCATAACAATTTCAGAAAATGAGATACATAACTCATGCATCCAATTTCTTTAATACACTTAGGAGAATGCAAGGAATAATTTGTTTTAAAAAAAAACATTCAATTAATACAAATATTTTGCTTACTTATGCTTACTTAAATATAATACTTAATGATTTTGGTTTCACGCTTTCAAGTTTTTCTGACGTTTCCGTGACACTGAATTCCGTAAATTCCTCTCCCCTGCAGCGATGTAATGGGCGCACCCCGGCGCTGTTCTCACCTCTCGATCCGAGAGCCGCAGCACGGCGTGCACGGTGCCGGTCACGTCCAGGTGCTGGTCGAAGCCCAGGCCGGAATCGTTGGAGTTGTCGGAGGCGTCGATGGGAGTGCGGTGCTCCTCTCGCCCGCTCACTGGGGGTTGGAACAGAGGAAACAGCTTTCAACATTAACAGCCTTCGCGAGGGGGCGGGCGGTGTGTTTGTACGGCGACGAGGAATATTTACGGGCGGGCGAAAGAAGAACGGATTTCGAACGATTTCCTCACAGCGGGGATTCGTCACGCCTTTATTACTCATCACACGTTCTACTACACTCCATCTCCGCCCCCGTCCCACCCTCCCCCGTCGTCTTTAATACAATACTTGATTTTTCACGCGTTTACGGAGCTAAAAAAACAAACAAACGGGGAGAAGGGGGGTCCACTTTGCAGTCGTGTTTCTTCTCTTCAGGCGCGGCCTTTACAAGAAAACACGCCTCTCTCAAGGCTATCTGGTTTTTGTACATGGCACTGCGGCTTTCACAAAAAGGATCTTCCGATCAGAACCCCAATGCGAACCAGGGTGGCTGCTGCTGCATGAGGCACAATTTCTCGGAAGCCTATGACTCGCGAGGGCTTCCCAAGTTTGCAACAAGGCCGCGGCTACTCGGCGGGAATTCGGCGAACGGTACAGATACCATCTCTAAAAGTTGCAGCGTTATCGTATAGATACGATAAATCTATCCAATACTCATGACATTACACACGCATAGCTTCTACGAAAACCTCGATTACTTAACTCAACTTTCTCAACTCAAATTCGAAAACAAAACACAAATTACACATCCGATTTAGGGCAACGAAGAGATCAAATAGGAACATAGTGAAAAGCAATTTTTTTCTGTGGCATACGAAGAGACAGAGGTATCACTGTTTTTAAAGAATTTTAAGCATATCCACTTCCAGATTGTGATTTTATCAACTTTACGAGAAGATCATTTTTCGGTATAGACAATAAAACAAACTTAAGGCATACAAACGACATCTAAGGAGGAAAAACAATTGGCGTTTCCAAATTCCACATTTCATTGGGAATTACATCGAAGTTAATAATAATTATTTGACTACGATAACCTCTAGAGGAGCCAGAGAAGATGCTCTCATGAAATATCCCTTCTGCAATGTAGAAGAGAACGCAAGCTACATTCTGCAGATCAGAACGAAAAAGACGATCAAAGTACACTTATTTTGACATAATATTATTACCGTAAGTCTAGTTTGGCGTTAACAGTACCACTTAATTAGTTATCTTGGATCAATATATTCGAAAACATTTTTACTTATTAAAAATTAGACTTAATAAAATTATATTTTCATTAAGAGTTTAACAATGGCAAAAATCAATTCTGAAGACAAATCATTGCTCGAAATGATCGAAGTGTTCCCTGAAGTACGGATGGTATAAGAACTTAATTTACTTACTCTCAAGGGGATGGATAGCAACATGCAGACAGTTCAACCTTAAAATACCTTGTAATATACTAATTAAAGTAAAGAACACTTTCTCTTCCAAAAAACTATCACAAGCAGATTTCATGAAAAAAGCAACAGGCAAATGGACTTTTATGAATGGAACTCTATAGTTCTTTTGGGAGGTAATATTAACTAACCCACAAACAGCACTAAGCATAGGTACTCACCAGGCAGCGGTCGCAGGTGCGAAGAGGGCCGCTTAGCGGCGAACCCTTTGACAGTCTTCCGCGGCAAGCGCGCGTTCAGCGTAGTGCTCCCCGCGAGGAGTTTCATGTTGCCTGCAACAATCGCAAAAGGGCCGACAGTTAGAACCGGAGCAACTGCGACCGACCGTCCCCGCACGAAAAGTTCAAGGCCCGCTTCGCGACCCCCGCAGCCTGCTGGCCGCGGTGCAGTGCGCGCGCGACGCGAAGACACCACGCACACGGCCCGGTCCGTCTGCTACTTCGTACTCACTGGGTGGCACCCGGCGCGTGGCGATCGTCGCTCTGAACGTGATCCGCGTGCATGTGAAAAGACGGCTGACTGAAGTCGATAAACCTGCGTCAGCGTCGCTCGATGAAGCTATTTTCAAGAAACGGAGCTCTGTCCGACGCTCCCGCGCGAGCGCGCTCTCGAGCTTTCTCTTTCCCTATTTTGAGCGCCGGCCCGCGGTGGCGGCGGCGGCTGTAATCTCGTGTTGACGGGCACCTACGGCTCTGGAGGTCGGGAGGAGGGGAGCGCCGCGGACGCCACAACCAGTAGCGACGCGAAGACCGCAGAGTGAACGACACCGGAAAGGAGGGAATCCCTGGAGCAGAAAATATGACACACGGAAAGAAATAGTTGAATGGGAAAAAAGGAAAGAATTTGCACAGGATATAAAGGAAAAAATGAAGAAAAACAAAAGGAAAATAGTAAAAAAGAGACAGAAAAGGAAATAATAACTGAACACGCTCCACATCCATTGCAAATTGAAATGCAATCATTACAACACTGGAGATTAAAGAGTAATATCTACTTGATGCATATTTCAGTTCAGACATGTTTACTGCTGATTCGAAAACAATACTAATTTATGATTCGCGCTAACTGAACTGTCCATAAAATTACCCGGGGCTCACGACATAATTGCTAGGACATACGCCTACCTTCTTCTGTCGCATTACGGCCCTTTAATTTTAGCCTTGACGTATCGAACGATCAATGCCCGACTAGATACGCCTACCTAGGGATGGCAAAAAAAATTACGATTTTAAAACATCCATATTTTGCTTTTGATGTTTTCATCATATCGATATACTTGTCCAGACACATTTTCAAAAAAAGTTCTCATACAATTTCCAGTTTCTATTTTATTTCTGGATTGCTCACAATCAACAGCTGTATTTGTTATCGATCCCCAGGCGGCACGAAACTATTTGATATTCGCCACCTTTCTCCAATGTTGTTACTTTTATTATTATTTACGTGGTAATATCGTTAAACTGCAATTTGAACCTTGACTACACAATTTGAACCTTGACTTGATAAAAAAATTAAGATGGCAGTCAATTTTAAGACAATATATTTGAAACTAATATTTACGTGTTATGTATCATATTAGAACCACAACATTTTACTTAGAAATGATTCATCAACATTGATATTTTAAATATGTATCAAAGTATCGATGTTTTGCTACAATTTGTCATCACTATGCCTACCACACCTGGGCTCCAGTGCGAACCCCGGTCAATCAATGTGGAATTTGTGCTTTAACAATGTGAGCTCTTGGCAGGTTTTCTCGGGGTTCTCTTGCCTCCCTTTCCAAACATTTCTCTCTCATCTCTCCCATAATCATTACAGCTATCATCTACTCATGAGCCGCAATGACATCAGCAGTTGAAGAGCCTCCAACCAACCCTAATAAATAAATAAAGTAAATTGGCTGGTGCTACATAACTCTGTGGTCACGGTGTAAACGTTCCTAAGTCAATTTTTGGCGAAATTGGGTTAAGTAGTAAAACTAAAAGTTAAGTATCTATATTTTATTTTAGTAAAATGTCCAAATTCAAATGTTGCCTCCTTAGCGACAAAAAAGCGTTGGGAAATATAGCTCGGAGTTGAGAAATATAGGCGACTCAATAATCTAACCTTTGTTTTCTGCAAACTAAGATTTTTGACTTAAGATCTTTTACCCTGTGACCCCAGAATTATTCTCATAATATATTTTCAAGCCATTCCCCTTAAGGAGACGAGGCTGCGTTTGAATTTTTTTCTTTACTTCAACGTCCAGCATGATTAGTCCCTATGCGAATGGCCATATTTTTCCCACTGAAACCGTCAGTATTACACGTCTGTTTCGATGACAAAGTATTGTTTACGCCCAAACGCGTAAGAAACGTTTATAACTTACTCTCCGCCAAACATTCCATGTGATAACTAGTTTGAGGCTAAAACGTCATTGGAAACGTCAATAAAATTCAGTATAGCATTCGCATCATACTGCTTCCTTCATTAACTCTCCGAAGCGTGAACAAAGACATGAGCCATCAGCATCACATGTCGGACACCTAAGAATCATGAGTGGAGCTGACTCACGGTAGGAGAATACGCGTTTTGAAACACGTTACTAAGATTTCGTTTCCGGGACACACACTTCCGCGCCGCTCGCTGTCACTTCCGCGCGAAAAGAGCGACGGAAGCCACACTGTCCGGTGGACGCGAGATGTTGTTTAGCCACCGCTGAACTGCGCGTAAATGGTTTTAAGGCTGCCACAAGGTCGAACGCGCCAACAACCGCTATCAAATATCCGCTTACGCTTCGTCGAACCTGAAACGTGGGTGCAAATCTAAGAACACCTCTTGGGCGGACGCACAGCGGGGGGAGGGGGAAGCACCCCTGAAAATATTGAAAAGGGGTGCCGTTGCCTTACGTATTTTATTTCCGTAAATAAGTCCAATCACCGAATTCCTCCATTTTTAACAAATTTGTGGAATTGTAGTGCGTCATTTTGGAAAAGGGTTCTCCAAATCATCAGGTGACACTAAATTGTTCAATCGTAGAGGAGAGATTTGGTTTTTCAGTTTTAAATTAATATCAGTTGTATTTATTAATTAAATCATTAAATTCTCTTTGCAGTATCTTTGTTTATCCATTTATTTATTTATTTATTTACAAGTACAATATGCCATAATTAAATAAAATAGTTTAATGGAAAGCGGGTCCAGAAGTGCGTTTGGTTCCCTTCTTGTTTTAGACAGTGCACGCCTAAGCCTCTTCAAACGTACGTATATTGTTACATACAGCCAGTAATAAATAATTACACAAGTTTAGTCTTCTGTTTCTGCGACGGAGGTAACGATGTACGCAATAACTTGTAAAAGACGTTCTGGGAGCAACAATAATGTATTTATACTAATAATACAATAATGTAATTTGCTTCGCGGAACGTCGGTCTCACGTACTATCGCAAAGGAGAAATGATAAACAAAGGTTGCTCGCATTATAGACCTCACAATACAAACTATTGATAACACAATAATACAGTACAATCCAGCGTTTCATTGAGGAAAAAAAAACAACCTATCGAGAGAGACAAGTACCCGCGCAGGAAAGCCAAAAAGCCGTGCAGGAAAATCAGTGGCGGCAGAGGACCTCCACCCGCACAGATAACCTGCGGTGACCCTGCGCGACCCCGCAGGGATTAGTCCACCAGCGCCACGTGCCAGCGCCAGCGGCGCCGTCCAAATTGGGGCCTCGGGATTTCGCAACGGCCGCGCGCGGCGCCGCTGACCCGCCGCGCCGCCTCGCGCCGCTTCGCGCCAGCCCCGCGCCGCTCCGCTCTTCCGCCTGGAGCTGGCGACGCGGGAAATAGGCCCCCGCGCGCCCGAACCTTCACACAGGCGTCACTACAGCTACGAGGCGGTCTTGGAAGAATTATAATGATAATAAACGGGGAATAGAGACTGGGGAATAGAGAGGGCGGTGAAGCAATTAGAGGATCGCGCTTCATCAACCCGGGCGAGCCTACCGCGATTGGAAAGGTAGTCGGAGATAGGCCTTCTTCTTTCGTTAAGGCTTTCTTATCGAAGGTAGCACTCAACCGAGTTCTTGGATTACAATGCGACTTTGACATGAGGAGCTGTTCGTAAATTATGTAACACGTGAGAAGGGAGGGGGGGGCGACTATATGTCAATATCGATGCGAAGCTAAGAGATAAAAAGAGACACTGATTTGTTCCTGTGCGGACCCCGCCTCAGAAACCATGCAGTCATGCTCTCCCTATCGATACTATTGGCGCAACGGAGAGGTTTTTGTTACCAATTACAATAGTAAGGTGAATACGTGAGCACTTTTACTAGCATTACATAAGTTACGAGACATACTATTTCGTCCACAATCATTGGCAGTAGTGCCAGAATCGATCGAGGAATTTAATTATGTCACTCACATTTGTAGCAATCAACACATTTGTATATTTTTATATACAAGATGCTTTCGTCATTCAGCAGTCAAACAGCTTGATGGGCCTCGCTGATGCGGGAATGAGCTCAAATAATAGGTCACAAACAATATCCGCTTCCACTGTGTACCTTGGCCCAAATTTCCAGCAGTGCCAGCGGCACGTATGAAACAAAAACGTTCGAAACTACTAGATATAACATATATAAATGTTAATAGCGCAATGAGAACTTTAAAAAAATGAATTGAAAACTGCCACAAAAACTAAAGGCGGAATTAATTCAGATCCAACACACCGTTAAAGATTCGAACAAGATACTGGGCAAAAATAGTACCAGAAAGACGCATATTCTCAACAAAACCACCATTATTTAATCACACTTAATCAATGCTGTAAGTAAACAAGCTTGGTAGCTTAAGAGAAGTTTGAGGATGAGATGATCTCAAGGAAACTCCTACACACCTGCGAAAAATAGCATTGGTGAATTACTGAAAATGAAATAATGCCGATTTTTTTTCTTAAAACCTATACAGCAATGCGCTCAAATCGTATATAAAGTATATTTACTTAAGTTCGCCAAACACCACATTACGTAATACGTTTACCAAAAAGAACATTTATTGGTGAATAGACATTAAAAGTGAACAGAAACAAAGGTGCCAGTATAAATATGTACATTTTATTCTCTCGGAATGTTTTGTTACAGATCCGTGACCCAGTTGGCACCTCTTTCTTGGAACTCGGCCTGGAAGGCATACTACATAGAGAATTTTGAGGCCGAATTAATTTCGACAAATCATGTAAGTGTAGCTCCTAAAGTAAAAGTCATACGTTTCGATGAAATTCTGTC